TATATATATATATATATATATATATATATATATATATATATATATATATATATATATATATATATATATATATATATATATATATATATATATATATATATATATATATATATATATATATATATATATATATATATATATATATATATATATATATATATATATATATATATATTAATTTTTTTATTAATTATTAATAGTTAATTTGTTCCTATTGCAAAATTTTGGTTTAAAAACAATTTATTGCTTACTATAAATTACTATTAAATGTGGGAAATCATTAATTAAAAGGTTATTAAATTGTTAAGCAAATAAACACTATTTAATCGCTTGAGTAAAATATGAATATAGTGTTATACATTTTACATGTAAAAAGTTTTTTTACTACATGTATTATTGCCTATATTAACTTGCTATTTTTGCCTTCATTATAAATAAATACATTATATAAATTAAACCTGTCCAATTTAGATCGTTCAGCAAGGCCAGCAAACGAGCGCGGTTAAGTTGGTTTTGTTTTCGATATTCCTGACACATTCAGTGATACACGGCAATAACTCAAAAACCTCTTACCCTAAAAAGATTTAAAGTGTGTTTCCAACAAAAAGGCAAAGCTGGTTATGTTTCACAGCTGTCTTTTTCTTTTTTTCGCTCGACATTACGAGCACTGCTCTGTTTAAGCCCTCGCAATATGCATTCAGCCGGGAGAGCTCGCGCAGAGAGGAGCTCCCAGTAAGGGACCGTCGGAAAAGTGCATCTTTTTTTCGTTTTTTTTTTTTTTTTTTTTGCTAAAATGACTTGTCATTCACGGTTGCATATGGGAACTTTCAGAACCTCGTCTTTTACCCTTATTGTAAAAAAAAAAAAACATTAAAAATAGTTTTATAATCATCTTCAGGAAGCATTATGAAAAGGTTGTCAATCACTATAAGGGCATTTAAATTGCATTTCTTTTTACTTGTAGTGGCTGATTTGTCAATAAACAAATAAACCCAGTAAAAGAAGAATTAAAAAAATGCAATATCAGATGTTTTTATTACAATCTGTCTCTTCACCCTCAGTGGCTGCTTAATGAATTGCATTTCCAAAATATTTTTCTCTATAATAGCTTTTTTCAATCAAGAAGATATATATATATATATATATATATATATATATATATATATATATATATATATATATATATATATATATATATATATATATATATATATATATATATATAGTTCAAGTCAGAATTATTAGCCCCCCTGTTCATTTTTACCCCAATTTCTGTTTAACGGAAACAAGATTTTTTTCAACACATTTCTAAACGTAACAGTTTCAATTACTCATCTCTAATAACTGATTTATTTTA